GGGGGGGGGGGGGGTAGTATAAAATGTCACATCAAATTCAAAATAATACGTTGGAAAAATAATTCACAATAACACGAAGTGATTTTATCAAATGTTAACTTCAATTTTTGAATCCAATAGATTTTTCCATTTCCAGAGAGATTAATCTTTTTGGGAGTGACTAAAACAAAGAGTAGGTCAACAAAAGGGGTAGAGGACTGTTATTCTGACCGGCATTTCCTTGAAAAAGCCAAAGATAACCCAATTACACCAGCTCCTGCATAGAGATCAACAACTGATGCACCGAGAGGGACATATTTCTGTAACTTCCGCAGCAAAGAGTCAAAAGCCTGAAGAAGGACAAATGATTAAGTAAAATCGAGAGAAAAATGTATCGTAATGGGAAAATCGGTCAAGGTTGTGTGGTTGGGTTACCAAATTAAGAAAAAAAGGATAATCAGAAATATGCCCCTAGAAGCAAAATGCATGGACTGTGGCTCAAACCAAGTTTAGTTCATCGTTAAGTAGGTTTAGTGTAAGCTAAAGTAGGAAAATAATCATCAAAAACATGCCATTACATGGTCAGAAATTATGAATTGGCCCAAGACAAACCAGAAATGGAATAAAGTGGGGGAAAGAATGAAACTAAGTTATCTACCCAAAAGAAGACATGTCCAATGTAAAGAATAAGGATTCTATTCATTTTTTCCTGATAAGTGATGTGTAATAAGGATCTATTGGCACTTATCCTGCCGTGTCTAAATTTACTGGAGAACTAAGAACCTCATTCATAGCAAACTTTGGCTGGAGAAATCCACTATTGTGCTTTATCTGAGAAGTATGTTCTATGTCTCGTCTGTGCTACTCAGAGTGGAGGTCAAGAAAACGGTTATAAACATGATTGCTCTTTCCCTTAAAAAAGAACAAATAGAATCCTTTTTTAAAGAGCTCTACCCGTGTATTTGCTTGCCCAAAGCTTGATGGAGCTAAAGAGACATCAATCCCTCCAATGTGCTCCCAGAAATCTCTTTCCCCTGACAAATGCCTCCATCTGTTTCCAAAGATAATCTGCATACCAGCACGAAGATATCAACTAACTGCTGCACTCTTATAAAAGATATCACAGTACTGGCCAAATTATGAGCAACACATTCCAATCACATATATACTGAACATCCATTCATATGTGTGCATATCCATGGGGGGAGAGAGAGAGAGGGAGGGAGGGAGGAAGGGAGATATTTGCTCACATTATTTGATGATGTCTGGAAGTTCGCCCAAACTGAATGAATTAAATGAACTTTTCTCTTTGGCCCACCATTTGCCCAGAGGAACTACATTAGAAGGTGAAAGTTTGTGTAAAATTAACGCAATCCATTGATGAAGAAGTCTAGTTTTGCTAACATCACACTCTTACATGGGCTAAAGCATTTAATTTTCCAGAGTTTGCTGAATTCTCGCTTCTTGAATTCCAAACCAAAGAGACCTGCACTTTACCTGAAATAAGACAATTTTTATCAACACCATCAAAGATCATCCTAAGCCTCTTATTCACTATAACATGTACAAACCATTCTTATATCTCTCCGGGATAGGAAGGGACGTATCATGCATAGTGACGGCCATCTGCACAATAATTAGTTGCATCTCAGATAAAGAACACCAAAAATCTCATTCAAACTATCTCAGCGACCTAATTCTTTCCTCTGCAAACTTATACTATGTATTACTCACCTGAACATACCTCAGGTCACCAGTGCCTTGATCTTCATCATATGGTTCAACATTCAACTCAATTATCCCTGGAGGGACCCAGACAACGCCAACAGTGAAAGAGAAAAAGAAAATCCAAATGAGAGTAAAGAATAGACAAATAAATACAGCGGCTGTTGTTTAAATAGGTACGTTCACACTATTTAATACACTTCGAAAGAGAATGACACACAAATTATTACATAAATTGGGGGGGGNACAAGCCTCGCTTCAGGAGCTCCACAGCAGCATTGATGTTCGGATGATGAGCTGCAGAAAGAGAGTCACATAATTGCACTTAGATAATTCTATTGTCTATGCATAGATAAGTGTACCACAAAAACCAGATATGCGGATAACCAAATAGCAGACCTTTACAGTCAGGGATATCAACTACGTTATGAGTGCCCTCCTCATAAAGCCCAATCAGAGGCTTGCTTGATGAACCTCGAACAGCGAGCTTTGCACGACATCTCCATCCCCACTGCATCCAAAGGACAGTTAATCTAGCTCATAATTGATGCCATAAAGTAACTCCACCAAAAATACAACAAATCAATTTAAGGCACAATAAGATTTACATCAATCACGTACTAATCTACAACTATCAAATGAAAAATCTTTCACGCCAAGCTTCTTGAAGTAACCTATAGCTTCATCAATTACTACTGGATGGTGAAGATCAAAGTCTTGAGTGCAACCAGAACACCTGTAAAACCACATCCAAATTGAGGCAGTCAAACACAATATTATACTACAATCACAAACATCCACCACTATACACAATATTATACTACAATCAGAGGTGGATCCAGTGTACCAACATTCAACATCTATCTTCCACTCGAACTATATACTACTGGAAAAAGGTTTAAATTTGCACCTATACTATCCGAAATTGCTCAATTTTGTGCTCCATTTCACTTTTGGTCCTTTTATACTCTTGCTATTAGCAAATCGTCTCATATTTGATGAAGCTCCAGAGTAGAATTGGTGGACTCCATGTGTCCAAATTCTTCGATAGAAATGATCCAAATTTATCCCTCAAATTTTAACTATGGTTTAAAATTAAGCTCAGGTTGGCTAGAGTTCAAGGGATAAACAAGACTTTTTCCTAATGACAGGAGTAACATTAGACCAAAAGTTTAACGGAAAGTAAAGATGTCTTATGCTATATAATAAAAATTACTGAGCTGAATACAGATATTAAGAGGGATAGTCAATAATGAATAGTTATGAGCTAGTGGAGCTAAGAATAATGAAACCACAGGAAAGAAAAAGGTACGTACGACTGGAAATGAGTGCAATTGAGGGCGCAGGATAAGGAAGGTGGAGGAGGAGGGATAGGATTATTAGGGTTTATAGAGAGAGCTGATGATGATGGGGCAGAGACACATTCTGCGCACAGCTGATTGCTCGTAGCTTGACAGCTAATAATGCGATGGATTGAAACTGCCGGAGAGAAGAAGCTCAGTGCCATTGGAAAATTGGAACTGCTTTCTCAAAGTGTTCGTTACAGTCTCAGCTGCCTATGGCGGGAATGGATAAAATATTTAAGAGCAGTATCTATATCCGATATACTAATATCTCAGCGATGCCCGATTGCCCGTTCTCATCTCTGGGTGGGCCAATTCAAGTCGAATTATTTGAACCCGAGCCGTTTTGTTTTATGTATTAGCTTTACTTAACATAATACCAAATATGATGTATAACTTATGCTTGTATTAGTTATACATAGGTTGAAAAAGTGTATCAAACAAGATATTACTAATATACAAAGTTAATGCACTCTACCTACCTCTAAGGGGTCGTTTGGTAGGATGCATTAGCTTTGTGTATTAGTAATACTTTATTTGGTACACTTTTAAGCATATGCATTAGTTATACACCCTATTTGGTATTATCCTATGCATAACTATTGCATAAGAAATTATGGTTTTAACAATGCAATCAATTTTAATGTATGCATTAACTTAGTTAAAGATAAATTTCTCTAATGCACTCTACCTACCTCTAAGGGACCGTTTGGTAGGATGCATTAGGTAAAATAATGCATGCATTAGCTTTGTGTATTAATAATACTTTGTTTGGTACACTTTTAAGCATATGCATTAGTTATGCAAATATTAGTTATACACCCTATTTAGTATTATCTTATGCATAACTATTGCATAAGAAACCATGGTTTTAATAATGCAATCAATTTTAATGCATGCATTAATTTAGTTAAAGACAAAATTGTCCTTCAAAATTTATGCTTGATTAAAATATGCTAATATATTAATGCAAGTTTGAAATAATCCAAGAAAGTGAGAAATAAAATTATATCGCTAGTAAGTAAATAAATACTTAACATATTTTCTTTTTTATAAATAAATATTAAGTTCTATACTATAATATAGGTAGACAAATTAAATAATTTTTTAAAACCTTTTTCATATAAAAATATTCCACAACATATGTTTCTTTTAAGAAGATAACGTGATGGACTGGTTATAAGGGTATTTTTTTAAACAAACAATTCTTTTAGAAATTGTGCAATACTTTAATACATCAAACCAAACAACGGATAAGAAATATGTCAGCATAAATTAATAATGTCAGCATAACTAATATCAGCATTACTAATACACCATATTCAGCATTATTCTTACACACTCTACCAAACGACCCCTAAAAGTAATATTGACCATAGAGGGTTATATGTCTCGTACTTGAAAATAAATTGGGAAAATGCTTAAATATGCTACTAAACTTAAGAAAATGGCTCATATATGCCACTCGTTAATAGTTGGTTTTGAATATGCCCCACTTTTACCATTTTTGGTCATACGTGCCATTACCCACTAACTGCATCCCACCTTGTCTAATTACTATATTAGATTTTGCCACATGGCATTATCTATACCCTCCATTATTTACGAGTCCCCATTCCTTCTTACCTTCTTTTACGAATGATATATGTGAGCTATTTCGCTGAACTACATGGCATATTTGAGCCTTAAGCCCTTAACATCTGTAGTTTGCAAATAAGGACAACATTAAATCATTTTTGTGAAGGCAAGGATACCAAACTATTAAGGAAGACAAATGTAAACTATTTTCGCATAATTTAGGGGAAAATTTGGCGTTTTCCTCCTTTTAAAGATAAATATGACAAATCATTGCAAAGAAATTAGTCTGCTAATGTTTGTCCCTGACATTCTTGTGTATATATCGCTCGACTTATTGTGAATGATACTGAAAATCTAGCTCTTATCATCTGTTAACATGCAATTAAAAGAAGCTGAAATTGAAGCTTCTTACATAAAATTTTTTAGAAAATCATGATGAATTCCCTTCTTGCTTTTATCTTTCTTTTTCTTTTTCTGCTCCTCGGGGTGATTAGCCATGGTTTCTAAAAAAGGAAATAATCTGGTTATAAACAAGATCCTTGGCAGTAATTCCCATGATAAAGTCAGCATGAGCATAATTCTTGATATACTGAACTGTCAACTTGTTTACATCATGGAACTTTAGAGCGTCGAGCAATGTCTCAACGTCTTTGCCATCAGAGAGTGCATCTTGGCCTCCATAGCTGAGAAATAGAGGAAAATAGCGAGGAATGTTGGTTAAATTATATTTGGGAGGTTTCGCTTCACCATAATGCGCCAAATTGTAGTCGCTCCCATAGTCATATTTTGATAGTATACCGTCTCTAACAGCTGCATTAATTTCAAACAAGTTAGAGTCAGTTATATGAATCTTTAAATGCGTACTTGAATTTTTGCGCACTAGATTATTGTGTAATTATTTGAGAGAACTTACTCTGAGCCAAATGCACCAGGTTCTTGGTTGAAGTGGATTGAGGCTCGTCATTCAAGAAAAGCTCGACGGTAGAGGCATTCAAACAACAGTTTTTCCCTTTATTCAAATGGAAGGTAATTAATTACATTTGTAGAGTAATTGGGACATTAATATTTATTAACTAAAATTTGAATAATTAAGTCTACTTTTGGAGAAGTTTAGTACCAGTAAGCGCACTCATTAAGTCATAGCAGTCCACCCCTGGCTGAGCACACAAGAACTTGAGTAAATTGGATACAGGTCCACTAAAAACACACAAAACAAAGAAGTGTCATTAACTAATTGAGATAAATTACCCAAAAAAAACTGTGTTGCTCGGACTATTCAAAACTGTCGTCAGGTGCGTGCCGGATCCTTCAGATATAGTGTATTTATAGAGTATCCGACACGGGTGCAATAACAATTTTGAGGAGTTCGAGCAACATAGCTAAAAAAAAAGTAGGGAGTTGAAAATTGAGTGAAGTTATTTACCCTTTTGGATTAAACTCTGCGAGACCAAATATTGTGGTGATCTGTGAACATGGTAAAAAACACAAATAAGTAAGTTACTTAGTAATTTGGTAACTAAGTGAAAAGGAAAGTTTGAAGAGAATTAATTAAGTACTAACTTCACCAACAAAAGCTCTAGCAGCAACATCACCAAGTGCAGTTGTCATATGGCTCAAATAAGCTATTGGACTGAGCAATACTGCTGATTTGACCTTGTCTACCTGTCTTCCTTCTGAGAAGGATGCCAGTGCTATTAAAGTTCCCTGTAAATCCATAACATATCTAAATTAAATTTCATCACACCATAGACAAGTGAAGTTATAAATCCTTTTATCAAAATCTTTTCTTATACCGTTACATCTATTCTGAGTAGAGGAGAACTACGATTTCAACTTTATTAGTTATGAATTTTTGAACTACAATTTCAATCTACCTCGGCCCCTGATTTTAAACTCTGAACTTACCATTGAATGGCCTACATAGTGAGTTTTTTGTCCTGTTTGTTTGAAGATGAAGTCAATGACAGCTGGTAAGTCATGGGCCACCAAATCATCCCATGTCCAATTCCAGAATTCCTGTAAACCATTATAATTTATAATACAAACTTAAAGCCACTTTACATTATTAACAGCACAATTCTTTACTTAGTTTTTTACTGTTGACCTAACAAGAAAATGTATTGTTCTTTGAGGATTGGAAGGTGATATTACCGAATCGTTAGGATCAAGGGTAACGTGACGACGACTGTATCTGGTTCCCCTGATGTTGGAAATCCAAACATCAAAGCCATTATCTGCCAAGATCATCGCTAGTGATTGTTCAGGTGGATTCAACAGCCATGTCGCGCCATCCTGCAAATAAAATAGCCAATTTTTATATTTCATCACCCTGATTAATTTTTTTTTTTTAATAATGGTAACAAACCCTGATTAAATTTTATAATCCTAACGTTTTCAATTCCTTATACGTTACACAACACATTTCCCATTAATACTATTCCTAGTTGAGTTTAAGTTATATACATTGTCACTAAAAGAAATTTTTATATCACATGTGACCTGTACTTCAGGAATTCTATTTTCAAATTCAGGATTTTAAGTATATATGTTCAACCTTTAAGATTCTTAATATTAAATACATTATATTTTAAAAGTTATGAGTTCATAACTATTATTTATTGTAATTTTACTGGACTTTTACACGTAAATATATGTTACGCGCCGAAAATAATAGTTTAAGATGAACTCGGTATGACTATGTTGCATCTGCCCTAGCAAATATCACATTTCAATATAACTTACTTGTAAATATTCTTTTGTTGACCTAATAGTGTAAAATACTTTTTGCGGACTTATTACTTTTTGCGGGTTCGAGTCATTAATGAAGCAAAGTGAGTCGCTCTTGGGGAATGCAAAAAAAGAAGATGGTCCGGATTGGATATCATTGCTAGTCTGACTTTTTTTTAGCAACTTAGAAAATAGTTTAAAACTGATTGAAATAATGTGTTCTTTACCTTTTATTGCGAGAATAAGTGAAAAATAATACGCAGAACTTCTGTTACTCCGTAAATCAAGAAAAAGTTAAAGTAGGTTTTCTTACTTTGTGAATTGCTATATGCTGCAAATACTTTCCTTTTAAGAAAGAGAGGATAATATTTTATATGACCTCATATATACTTCTGATGATACTCAATTAATCAAGGTAAGTTAAGTACTCTTCACTTGTGTGAAGAAGTAAGGGAGTTTTAACAAAAGATTTGGTCTTAGGAATTTGTAATGTTCTTCTTCCATTTAAGAGTAAGTTTATGTTTCTTTGCTTATGTGAAGAAGTAAGGGAGTTTTAACAAAAGATTTGGTCTTAGGAATTTGTAATGCTCTTCTTCCAATTAAGAGTAAGTTTATGTTTCTTTGCTCATAAGTGGGATCACGAACTACAAAATGATACTCTCCAAACACGTTCAGTAGTGCTCTGCAGCAGGCTTGGGTTGAAGTAAGGGTGGCATGTGGGCCGGGCCCGATTCTAAGCGGCCCGGTCCTAAACGAGGCAGCTCAAGCGGGCCTAAGTGGGTCCAACAGATACTTTTTATTTTTTAAATTTTTTTTATAGAAGTTAGACAAAAAAAATGGTAATAAAAATATCTAAGGCAATTCCTTATAAATTATATTATAGAATTGTCACCTAAAGTTTTTAATTCAAATTTAAAGACAAAAGTATTGTAAAGAGATATTCAAAGCAATGCGTTATTATATATATATATATATATATTAAGACGTATATATAATATAGTATAGTATATATATAAGTTATATTCGATATATATAAGCTTATTATATATAATATACTATACTATATATACATCTTAAGATATATACGCTATATTCGATTTACATAGTATATAAGCCATATTCGATAGTATACATCTTAAGATGCGAATAGTATACATCTTAAGGTATATAAGCTCTCTCTATATATATATATAATATACTATATTATATATACATCTTAAGATATATAAGCTATATTCGATTTATATACTATATATACNCTTAGTATATATATAAAAGCTATATATATAAGAAAAAGTGTAATTATAAAAAAATTAGGGTTAAAACAAAGTTGGGGGGTTAAATGCCTATTTATAAATAGCCAACGACTATTTTGGCAGGTAAAACGGTCATATTTTAAATGCCATAAAGGCTATAATGTGGCAGATTCTTTTTTTAAAAAAGTTTAGCCCTTGGTCCCGGATAGGCCCGTTTAGGATCGCTTGAACCGACCCACTTCTCAGTCGATCCCGGTCTCGCGGGCCTCGCCTATGGGACCGGCCCACTACCCAACCCACCTCCCCACGGTCCCAGTCCTATCCGGTTAGAACCGTTTAGGCTTACTACCCATTTGGGCTTGCGGTCCTGGACCGGGTCCGGTCCTAACCGGCTCACATGCCACCCTTAGGTTGAAGGGATCCTAAGGAGATTAATCTTGCTAGTGAATGATGGTTAATATGCTACCTCAATGGACAAAGGCTTAACGGCAGAGGCAAAATCATGATTTAAAACTTATGAGTTTGAGTTTCTAATATTTTTAAGTTAAAGAGTTCTAAATTAATAATTTATACATATTCAATAAATTTCTTAAAAAAAATATAACTTTGGATTAAAGATAATGGATTCAATAGTACATTGCTAGCTCCCCCTACTTAATGGTCAAGATTGAAAGATATATTAAAAAAAAAAATCGAATATTCAACCTCCTTGTTAATCTTGCAAAGTATACCTTGTGCAAATGATAAAGGACATTGGCACATTAAGGTCCACCACTTACTGTCTTCACTTTTTGATGGAAATAAGTAATTGATACCTTAGCATGCCCGAGGCAATATTATCAAGAAGACGCGCAATTGTACTGTTTTGCCCATATGGTCAACTTTTTAATGCAGATTTCACACTGTAAATCCTCCCCTTTTAAGAAATCATGATGAACCCCTTCTTTAATCAGTGAGCTTGTCACTGAGAAATCATCATCACTCTTTAGTGTTTTTGTCCTTAAAATAATTGGACAGATAATTTAATTTTTTTACTCGAGCTGACCAGTCAAGCGAAACGAATCGTGATAAAGTTCACTATCTCCAAGTTTTACTCCATGAAAATCGGATCTGTTTTTCTTTATATTATTATTTATATAGTTTAATATCTATTACAGTAAAGTTTGTTACCATACTTATGAGATTACTAGCAGGGGATGCTAGAATTTTTGTATGAGGTGTGACTTTTATTAAAAAAAAAGTTTAAATAACTTTAATTATTATAGTTCTGGACAAGAAATAGTCTTAAAATATTGGTTTGTTGAATTTTAAGTTAGAAAATGTCCGAGTTGCATTATATATAAGCACAATTTTCACCACAGAGGATCTCTCAAATAGTCGCAAAAAAAAGTACTAGTTGCCTCGAGCAAAATCAAACACATAACCAACACACCAAGAGACAATTTATGTCAAGTGGTGTTAGTTTTTCTTCCGTTTTCTCACAGTATTTATACATATATTTAGTAAAAAATTTCGATGAAGCGGTGTATCAAAGCTCCTGATTACTAGGTAATGTTACATATCTTAGAGATTTATCTATGATTACTTAATTAATGACATGATTATTGAAGATTCTATTTTAATTTATGAATGTATAAAACTTAAAAACTTCGGAATGATATAGTTAACTTTTTTTGTTGCTGAGAGAATCGCGTTCGTTAGTAATTTCCTCAAGATGCAAGTGATGTACTAAAAGTAGAGGTAGAGCGTAAAAGTAAAGCTTCTTAATTACCACAAGAACACCGTGCTGCAACAATACTGGCTGCCTGTTTTGCCCACCACCACCTAAGCGGCCTTCTGGAATTCTTTGCACGCTTAGTATGTAGCCATCATCAGTTTTTACCTGAGATATGCAAAAAAAGAAACACATAAAGACCGCAGAATCAACTAAAAGTACAGTCCGGTGCACGAACATGTCGCACTCTCGCAGGGTCCGGGGAAAGGGCGCACAGCCTACCGTGATACAAGTATTAGTGGCTAATTCCACGGTTCGAACCCGTGAACTATAGGTAACACGGAGGTCAACTTCATATACAAAATTAATTACCTCAAATTCTTGGCATTTGTAACCATGAATGGCGACAGTGGATGCGCACATGCCAGCGGGTGGTGCAGTATCCACGCCATTAATATCATGGTTGATGAAGCCAAAATGGCTTCCCCTGCTTGAACTAAAAACTCGACAAGGCTGATCAAAAACTAAGATAACTAATGACACTAGGCTCAAAACACGCAGACATGACAAGATTCCAAACGCCATTAATTCTGTTTTAGCTAAGTAATGGATCAGAAGGGGAGGTGGGGGCAATTTGCAATGGTGGAGTTGAGAAAGCTCAAGAGAAATATATTTATAGAGAGACAGAACAGAGTGAGATAAAAAGGGTGGTACGTGAACAGAAGAGGAATGGACACCCACTGGGAATTATCGGGATAAACAAAGTGTGAAAACGATTTTCTTTTGTTCTGATGAGCTTTTCAACTGACTAACTAAACGATTTTATCTACCTTTTTCAAAAGAGGTTTTAGTTTTTTGCTTTTCTATATCACATTACTATAATTTAGTTTCAAGTGTGAACAGAGTCAGGCAGTGTCCAAATAGTTGGCCGAATTTATTATTTATGTTCCCTAGCCAACGTATAAATTATTATACATATATTGTACATGAATTTTACATATATTATATATCTGTCGCCTTTAAGTATAAGGGGTTAATGAATGAACGACTATTTAGGTTAATCCTTCCAAAAAAATTAAAAAGTGATATACACTACATACTTTGCGACAAAGGAGGTTCGAACCCCTCACGTCCGCCAGCTCCGCCCCTAGTCAAGGCCCACAAATTTCGGAAGTTTTGTATGTTCTTTTATCATCACCATGCTATTTGGGTCAACGTAACTGATTATAAATGAATGTACGTGCATATACATGCATATAATGACATTCAATTGTGACAGAGAATGTAATAAAAGTAATTGTATACGGTCGAAATCGAGCATGTTAGATTTCATAGGCACGAGGAGCTGCCTCGAGAGTAAGCTCGTAATAAACTAGGCTCGAGTTCAATGGCAAAGTACGGAGCACGAAGATCGAAGTGCTCGCTGAAGATCGAGACCAAGCATGACCGACTTCGAGTAAGACATAATAACAGAATGGCGAGATATTAGCAACCGACCGAAGATATCGGCGGAAATCTCGGAACATATCAAATCAAGCGGTTATTGACGTCAATTATGGGAATTATTTTTGTGATTAGAATTGTACCTTATTTAGGATTGCTCTACTATATAAAGAGGGACCTTATTCATTTGTAAGGGGCCTTATAAAAATATACAAAAACACTGCTCTCTATTTTACTTACTATCCATTACTGTTCATCATTGTTCTTTACTATTCTTCTTACCCAACCTCGAGACCATCTCGAATCGAGGTCGAAAGCGATACTAGAACACCGGTTTGATTTATTTTACTATTCAGATTATCTATTTCAATTCTTTGTTTGTCAATTGATATTTGATTAAATCGCGTATCCTTAAAACCACTAAACAAGTTTAATTGTTACTCGAATTTTAGGGTAAACAGTTTGGCACCCACCGTGGGGCTAAGGATAATAGTGATTGTTCAGTACTGATTCTGGTAAAACACACTATTTTACGCTTGTTCTTGTTGAGTGCCTTTGCTTTCAGGTTAAAATATGTCAAACTCACAAAACGCATCCACACATGGTAACAATGGCCTCAGATTCCACGATGAAAATGAAAATGTGATCGCTCCAGGAATCAAGGTGCCACAGGCTAATCTCGGGGCAGCACCGGTTTCCAACCCAGTCAATGTCAGTTCGCACGTTGCTCTAAACGCGAACCTAGGCGCAGATCTCGATACGCAGAGAAGGCTGATCTAGTGTCCAAGGAACACATGGCAGATGAGACGAAGGAGTTAGTCTCCAATTGATATTGGAGATGCTTCAGGCTCAGCAAGCTGCTATTGCTCAATTACAAAATCGACATAGAGCTCCGAATAGGGTCGAGCCAACTTGCCGTATCGGGCCAGTATCGGAAAGGTAGAATGGTAACGAAACGGAGACTAATCTTGTGGTAATGAAAATGCTTGAGGAGCTCACCAAAAGAATTGAATAAGGGGAGAAGAGAATCGAAGCCAACGATAAAAAAGTGGAGACATACAACTCTCGAGTTGATCAGATACCAGGGGCACCGCCAATCTTGAGAGGGATGGATTTGAAGAAGTTTGTACAAAAGTCGTTTCCTCCAAGTGCGGCTCTAAATCCTATTCCAAAGAAGTTTCGTATGCCAGACATACCCAAACACAATGGGACTACCGATCCCAACGAGCATGTTACTTCATATACATACGCCATTAAGGGTAACGATTTAGAGGATGATGAATCGAATCCGTGCTGTTGAAAAAATTTGGACAGACCCTTTCGAAGGGAGCAATGATTTGGTATCACAACCTGCCACCAAATTCCATCGATTCATTTGCCATGCTAGCAGATTCTTTAGTAAAGGCACATGTCGGAGCCATAAAGGTCGCAACGAGGAAATTGGAACTTTTCAAGGTAAGACAAAGGGATAATGAAATGCTAAGGGAGTTCGTGTCCCGATTTCAAATGGAATGCATGGAGTTGCCACCGGTCATAGATGATTGGGCCGTTCAAGCTTTCACCCAAGGGTTGAACGAACAGAGTTCGATAGCATCACGGCAGTTGAAACAAAATTTGATCGAGTATCCAGCTATAACTTGGGCAGATGTACACAATCGATATCAGTCGAAGATCAAGGTAGAGGACGACCAATTATGAGCCCCTTCCGGTTCAGTATATCCAAACATGTCGATAGTTAAAACCAGAGGCACGTCGACAGGGAGCCAAGGTCGAACATGGACCGATATAAACCATATACCGCAGATCGAAGCAACAATGGTTTAGGACGCAATTCCGCCTGGAACGATCGAATAAGTGATCGAGGACATAATTCTTGGGGACTTATGAGCAAAAGTGGTTTCGACAAGTATGTTGATCCCACAGAGGCACCTCGGTTATCGGAATATAACTTTAGCATCGATACATCAGGCATTGTTTCGGCAATCGGAAGAATCAGAGATACTAGGTGGCCCAAACCCATACAAACCGATCATTCCTAAAGAAACCCAAATTTGATGTGCAAGTATCATGGCGCGCATGGTCACAAGACCGAGGATTGCAGGCAATTAAGGGATGAGGTAGCCCATCTATTCAATGAGGGTCAACTTCGGGAGTTCCTCAGCGATTGAGCCAAGAATCTTTTCAGAGAAAGGGACGCCAACAGGAAAAATGAACAGGAGGAACCCCAACATGTCATTCATATGATCGTCGGTAGGGTCGACATCCCATAGGAACCTATATTCAAACTCACTAAGGTATCAATCATTAGGGGAAAATAAACCCGGGATTATGTGCCCGAAGGCACTTTATCATTCAACAACGAAGAAACAGAAGGCATTTCTCAGCCCTACAACGATGCTCTGGTAATTTCTATCTTATTAAGTAAAGTTCAAGTTAAGTGTGTTTTAGTGGATCCAGGTAGCTCGGCAAATATCATCCGATCGAGGGTCTTAGAGCAACTCGGCCTACAAAGTCAAATCGTACCCACAACTCGAGTCTTAAACGGCTTCAATATGGCCAATGAAATAACTAAATAGGAGATTATTCTACCAGTGAACGTGGCTGGAACCATTCAAGATACCAAGTTCCACGTAATCGAAGGCGACATGAAGTACAATGCCCTGTTCGGAAGGCCTTGGATCCACAATATGAGGGCAGTCCCTTCGACTCTCCACCAAATAATGAAATTCCCGATGTCGGACGGTTTAAAAACAGTATACGGGGAGCAGCATGCTGCAAAGGAAATATTTGCGGTCAATGAGGTGACCTCGATATTGACACTATCAACCTCGAAAAGGTCGGGCATCAAATATAAACAGAAAGTCAAATAGCAATCACAGCCACCAGCCTCGACCGAATTAGGGAAGCGGGATATAGAAGAAGAAGAGGAGGAATTTCTGACCCCTCGAACTTTTGTTGTTCTCGAAGATACTGATGCCACCAAATCAACGGTCGAAGAGCTGGAACATGTTATATTGATCGAGTACTTGCCCGAGCGAAAGGTATACCTGGGAACGGGATTAACCCCCGAACTCAGGAAAACACTTATCCAATTTCTTGTTAATAACATAGATTGTTTTACTTGGTACCATTTAGATATGACAGGGATTTCACCGGAGGTAACGACACATTGGCTAAGCCTGGACCCTAGATTCAAACCGGTGAAGCAAAAGAGAAGACCCCAGTCTGAAGTAAAGCACGAATTCGTAAAGGACGAGGTAACTAAACCTCTCAAAATAGGATCCATTTGGGAGGTGAAATATCCCGAATGGTTAGCCAATGTAGTTGTAGTCCCTAAAAAAGAGGACAAACTTATAAGTGTGTAGATTATAAGGATATAAACAAGGCGTGCCCCAAAGATTCTTTTCTACTGCCTAACATCGATCACATGATCGATTCCACGGCCGGCGACGAGATCCTTACTTTTCTCGATGCCTATTCCGGGTACAATCAAATCCAAATGAACCCGGAAGACCAATAAAAGACTTCATTTATCACTAAGTATAGAATATATTATTATAATGTAATGCCCTTCGGGCTAAAAAATGTAGGAGCTACTTACCAACGCCTAGTAAATAAAATATTCGAAGAATAGATAGGTAAATCAATAAAGGTTTATATTGATAACATGCTAGTTAAGTCCCTGCGCGCAGAGGACCATTTGGCTCATTTGCAGGAAACGTTCAAGATTTTAAGGAAATACAACATGAAGCTCAACCCCGAGAAATGTGCTTTTGGGGTTGGTTCGGGAAAGTTCCTTGGCTTCATGGTATCAAATCGGGGGATCGAGATCAACCCCGATAAAATCAAGGCCATCGAAGACATCGCCTTCGTGGATAGTGTAAAAGCCGTACAGAGGCTAACTGGACGGATAACTGCCTTAGGCCGATTCATTTCGAGGTCATTGGATCGAAGTCACAGATTTTTCTTTTTACTCAAAAAGAAGAGCGATTTCACCTAGACCCCGGAATGCCAACAAGCATTGGAAGAGTTGAAGCGATACCTATCGAGCCCACCACTACTTTATACTCCAAAGGCAAATGAAAAGCTTTACTTGTACTTGGCAGTATCAGAAATCGAGGTAAGTGGTGTCCTAGTTCGGGAAGAGCAAGGTACGCAATTTTCTGTTTATTATGTAAGTCGAACCTTAGGAGAAGCAGAAACTAGATATCCACACTTAGAAAAATTGGCACTTGCACTGA